GATTCAAACGTGAGTTTTGAGCAGTGTAGAGTAGGGCTTGTTGTTTGTCATTTCTCCGATCACAAATGCAGACATGGTTTTATGTTTATGTGCGAGATGCAACGCACTGCGTGAAAAGACAGTAAGTCATTATAATCCGTAATTATATCCCCACTGGATGCAACGAATGCCTGGTTTGTAATGGGTTTTAATGTTTTTGTCTCGTCGCTCCGGCCGGACAGGGCATCACAGTATGGTGAGGGGCGTAACATTTCCGTCACACGCTTGAGGTATTCAGCCAATCACAACGCACTGGATAGCTGGCTAATCACAGCACACCTCGCTTTTCAGACCGATGAGCTTTGTAAAAATCGACACGTTTCAGAAAGGCGGGGCATAGAGGAGAAACAATAATGTACAGTATGTGGAAAATAATGTGTTTTGAACCTTAAACCGCATAAACACATTTCATTACGCCAAATACATAAAATAATGTTCTTTTTAGAAGCATCATATGACCCCTTTAATGCATTATTTGACCTCCTAATTAGGGGTGCTATAGTGCCACAGAATATTACACTACACACAAATATGATTAAAAGAGCAAACCTCTTTGTGTTGTTTTGAGTTCATTGTGAATACACCATTCTTATTTAAACCATTTCTGTTGTTCATCCTTTTAACCCACACAACTCGCACAGTAAAATCTGACCCGTCGTAACTCAACCGACAAGGCTGAAGGCCATTGAGTCAGAAATTTTCGCACATTGAAATATAAATACGACCTCACAGTCACTCAACGTTCGATTTTCTGCATTTTTTTGCATCTGTAGCAAGCATTTTGAAAGGTGTTTTGACAATTCAGAGCCACCGTGCAAGCGAACGGCAAAATCCAGAATGGCGATTATCAAGTTGAACACTGTAAAGATCCCTGCACACGGAGTTCACAGAAATTGATGGTCTTTTTAATATGTGGCTCTAGTATCACTAGCAAAGCATCAAACTGAGCCATTCTGTAGTAGTAGTATATTTTTATTTAATGCCATGTCAGCATCTTGGGATATTTTAATGGCAAAAACAACTCAAAAAATACAAGTATAACAGCAAACAAACAAGTTATATTACACAAGAGTAGGCCTGTCGCAATAATCAATATATCGACTTATCGCGCGATATATATGTAATATATGTACATGACCTCAGTCATTTTTGGTGACGCAATATATCGCCCATTATATTTACTTCAAAATGAATGTCACCATGTTTTGTACATTCCACTTGTGCCTGTGTCTTTTGCAGCTTCTCGTACATAACGTGGTGTAGTCACGAGGTGCTCGTTCACATTTTAAAAAATGCTTCTACAAAAAAAAAAAGTTTCATCTGCAGATATGGTCTTGTTTAGGGATCTGTGCCTTTGTGCATACAGACATCTTAGTGTTTTGCACCCTTCATTTACAGAGAAAAGAAGGTCTGGGAAAAATCTGTAGATGGAAAAATCAGGCATTAGAGAAAAGACAAAATGAAAATGACATAGAAGCTTTTCTGAAGACAGTCTGTTCTTTTCAACGATACATCTTTTTTTTTCTACTTGTTTCTTTGCACATTTAGTTAGAAAATGTTTATTTACTATTTATTCAGGTTTTTTTAAGGTATCTAATATTTTGATACTTAATTTCCATGATCTAAATATTCTTAAAAATTAATAGTTTGTTGTCATTTGGAAGTGTGTAGGCCTTCTTGCATTATCATGCTGTTACTTTATGATTATATATTCAGTGGCATAAAATGGTCTTTAAAATTACAATATAGCTTATCGCAGTTATTTGTGGGGCAATATATCATACAACAAAAAGTTATCATGACAGATCTACACAAGAGTTTTTACATTAAATTCTAAAACATTTTCTGGCAAAATCATACACTCTTTAAGTGAGTTTGCTTCATAAGAGTTTTCTACATGCATTAAAAGCTGGACAACCCAATAAAACATGTTTGACAGAAAGGGGAATCTTGCAGAACATGCATCGAGTAGTGTCTTCACCTTTAAGCAAAAATGCAGTCAATCTTGACATCCTGAAGTACATTTTGAATCGCTCGGGATAATCCCGCTGCTCCTTAACCAGGGAACTCTCCTTCCTCTCTATATCTCAGGATTGGATGGACCCAATATTTCCTTTCTTTTTCTCTTTTCAAGAAGCGAGAGGACAACAAAATCATCCTCACTGCTTGAAGACTCCATTTAGTACCGTTTTGTGAATTTTTTATCGCAACAGATGAATTAATACGCATCGAACTCAGTGTGCAAGGTTTCTATGTGTGACGGATTTTTTGGATAATGAATACGAAAAAATGCATATGGAAACTTCGGACTGTGTGCGCAACGCCCTTAATAGTTACAAACGAACGGCCAGGACAGCTTGTGAATCAAACGATTTAAATGAGCAGTAGACACACACACACAAAAGACGGAGACTTACGCCCAGGTTCTCCAGCAGCAGCTGCATGATTTCATCACAGTGAGGAAGGATGTTGGCCATCAGCGCTCGGCACAGATCACACACCAGCCCCACCGCAGCCAGACACACCTGCACACACACAATGAATGAATGAATGAATGATGCATTTATATAGCGCACACACAACACAGCACACACTGAACACTGTTCAAGGTTTCATTCACAAACAAGCCACACTGTCACTTGTTTTTAGAGGGGTTTATGAGCTGTTGAGTCCCGCAATGTCCAGTGTGGCCACAGGAGACCGTGGGGTCGGCACACACCAGGTGAAGTAGACTCTGATTCTCTGTGATGATATAAAATCCTGAGCTGCCTGAGCTCAGAGCAGCAGGAGGAACAATCATCAACAAACGCCAGCTTTACCCCAGCATTACCTGGTACTCCGCAAAATTCTTCAGGCCGATAACCAGGAAAGGCTTGAAGGCTTCCATGTACTTCAAGAAATCACTGCCCAAAACTAGAGAGGGAAGGTAGAGGGGAAAAAGCGGATTTCAATCATTCAGTAAATGGCTTTAGGAAATACCATCAAGACACTGAGGGATGCTCGTCAACCCCCAGATTCTTCATTCCTCCTAACATTACATCCTGAACATATCTGTTAGTTTGGTACAAGGAAGAAAGACTTGAATCTATTGTTTGGAAGCTCTTCCTCATAACTCCAGCATGTTAGGTGAGAGGGCAGCGAGCAGGCGGTGATCTGATCATAAAACATGTCCAACTGCATTTAACGCTGGCCACCTGAGATGGCATTAAAAACACCAGGTGGAAACATGGCCAGAGAAATTAAACACAATAACTGACTCAAACCTGGCGGATTTTAATTTAGCTGTAATATCAGACAAGTACCTTAATACCATGGTAAAATAAAACTAGATGGTTATTAGGCATCTGTATGAAAACTGTAGTCTATCTATAGACATGTGTAGATTAAAAACCCTTCTGACTGCTTCTTTGCGCAGTGTTGCTCCTGTTCGTCAGCGCTTTTATCTGGCTTTAAAAGTCATTGGTGTTGTTCGCTGAATTCAAGCGCTTCACACTGGATCTCACAGCGCTGCTTAGCGCTTCCGTTTGAACTGTGATCCGAGCAGGTAGACAGTCCGTTCTGCTTTTGGCACATTAACATTATTGAACATTTATCCAACTCCTCGTATCATTTTAAAATTATACTGCAATAATTATCGTTATCGATTTATCGCCCAGCCCTAGTTTAGATAAGAACAGAGTTTCCCACTGGCCCCAAACAACTCCTGTTTGTAGCAGAAAGCTGTGTTCAGTTTGACTCTCTGACTGACAGCTAGCTAATGCTGTTCACCGCTTGAATGTTTGCAGCCAAATGTTAGGCCCACAGCAGCATACTGAAGCCCCTCACCTTCCACCAGAGTGCTGACAGCCATGAGAGCGTCCTCCTGAACGCCTCCGGAGCCAGCGGTGCTCTGAAACATGCGCAGCAGAGACGCCATCACCACATCAGAGATCTGCAGCGCGTCCTGATGCTGCACCTTCCTCAGCACGTTCTGGGAGGACGGGACACAGATGAGAGCGCGAGGGCACACACACTCACCCACACACACACACACACACTCACGCTCTCGCTCTCTCACACACACACACACACACACACTCACCTGTAGGGTGGCACACAGCAGGGACTGCAGGTCGTTGAACTGGATCCTGTCTGAGGTACTCTGGATGTGAGACTGGACAAGAGACAGACGAGTTCAATTACAGCCAACAAAACAAGCCTCATCCTCACACACGGCTCAATTCCTTCTGAAAGAGGCAAGAGTCTGAGCCTGAACCACAGGGCTGCTCATCAACACAGACTTCTCTATTTTAATCCATTCTCGTTTTGATGAGCCAATATGGATTATTGAATTCAAAATAATTTATCTTTTAGTCCAAGCAGTTTTCAGTTGATGCAGGAATAACTTCACTAAACGTTATTTAGATAAGAATTAGATAATAAGCTTTGCTTTTTTTCATACGAAACAATGACTCCACATTCAAAATGGTCAATTATGATTTTCAGTTCAGTCCGTTGGTGAAATTAGGGCTGCATGATTAATCGAATGTGATTGTCATGCGTACCTCGTCAGTAAAGCCAGTTCTGTAATCAGCAGGAAATCATCATCCCATGCTTTCAGATGGAGCGGCATTTACTACAGAGCCGTAGTTCACCGAGAGGCTACTCAATATCGCGTTCATAATCGCAGACAATTTAATCGCACAATTATGAAATCGAAGAAATCGTTCTGCGATTATGAAAGCTGTTCGTGTAGCTTGTCAGTGAACTACGGCTGTGTAGTAAATGCTGCTCCATCTGAAAGCACCACATTTAATAACATGTTTTTACTCCAAACTCACTTCATAACATCAGCCGAAAGCCAGTTCTGTAATCAGCAGGAAATCATCATCCCATGCTTTCAGATGGAGCGGCATTTACTACAGAGCCGTAGTTCACTGAGAGGCTACTCAATATCGCGTTCATAATCGCAGACAATTTAATCGCACAATTATGAAATCGAAGAAATCGTTCTGTGAGATGTGGCTTCTTACACAGAATAAGACATTTCATAGTATTTAAGCAGTGATAAAGGCATCGTGTAGCTTGTCAGTGAACTACGGCTGTGTAGTAAATGCTGCTCCATCTGAAAGCACCACATTTAATAACATGTTTTTACTCCAAACTCACTTCATAACATCAGCCGAGTGGTTGAAATAAATCCTTCTGTGAGATGTGGCTTCTTACACAGAATAAGACATTTCATAGTATTTAAGCAGTGATAAAGGCATTGCATTATAGATGTACTTTATTGTAATGAAAATTATAATAAGAGCTCAGATAAACCATATATTGTGGTAGTCGTGTGTTTATTAGTCACACTGAATCAATGAAAGCAGTTGAATCTTCTGTTTATTCAGCTGCAGCGGGTTTCTTCTGGAGTTTCTCTGGCCTTCAGATGGAGATTTACTGCTGATCACAGAACCGTGCTTCACTGACAAGATACACATGACAATCACAGCTTCGGTCTAATCGCGATTTCCAATTCATTTCGATTTATCGCGCAGCCCTAGGTGAAATGCGCATCAGCTGAACATCATTCCCAACATAAAGCAGCGAGCGCCATGTGTTCACCTCCATCTGCAGGACCCGCTGCAGTCGCTCCATGATGACCAGCGTGGTCTTCTGCACCGCGGGGTAACAGTCCTTGGCGCTGTTCTTCACGATCTCCATCAGCGCCTCATACGCTGCACTCCGCAGGTTATTCTGATGCCCGTCTGGCCTGACAGTGAAGAGGAGACAGAGTCAGCGCACTGGAGAAGCTTCACTGCCTCACGTTCATCTGCCCTGGCCTATGGCTGTCATCTCAGACTAAAAACTAAACCGGGTACACAGTGGCAGATCATTCCTTTAATCTAGAGATTTTGATGATTTCATCTGATCTTAAAGGGATAGTTCACCCAAAAATTTTAATTATGTCATTAATTACTCTGGGTGCTCCGATCAGGATTTTTGAGGCCGATCACCGATCACAGAAAGCAGTATCTGCCGATACTGATCACCACTACAGATCTTTTTAAAGCCTTTTTATCATTTATAACTATTTATAGTGATACTCCAATCAAGATTTTTAGACATTTATTCAGGGCCTGAATTTCATTTTTGAAAACGGGGGGACTTCCCCTCTTAGGTGTCTCTTGTGAGGGGAAGCAGCTTTCACACAGGAGTCCGCTATTGATCCATGGCTGTTTACCACAAACACAACATTTATCCATTATTTTGATTTCAAATCCAAACATTGTCACTGAAAATGCTTTTTCAGCATTGATTCTTTTTTTTTACACAGTACAGTAATACAATCTTTCACAGACATGTTAAAGCACAATAAATATAAGCAACACATCATTCAATGCTTTTTACTTTTGCATTTACTTCTAGATTTATATATTAAGTTGCTCAAGCAAGTGGCAAAACATTTAAACTACTTTTCTTACGTTATCACAAACTCACCATTGACAGAAATAGTCAGCTCTACTGCCTTTTCTTTTGCATTTAGATCTTTATTACAAGCAATCCTGCCGTTCATAAAGAACTGTTTTCCTACCTGCCATCTATTATTGCCTTGTTTATCTAAAAGTGCTCTTTCCCTTTAAACCTAGCCAAAAATCCGTATATGTTGACTGTGAAATGCAGTAGACTTTAATATGCATTTATCGTGCAATTACTACATTTTCATGTCAATCCATGTTCATATTTACTGCAAACAATGCGCTGTTACTTTAATTCCGCTCTTGCAGCGCAGCAATAGACTCGGTGTGGATACGATCTCTGCACTGCTGCAGACACACTGCTCCTGAACGCACTGCCGGACCGTAACCGTGTGCAGTGTGCACGCTTTAATCCGTCATTATATAATATAATCACCTTCAGCATTATAATGATTTCACCCGCGCTGGACAGAGAGTGAGATGGTGCTGCTGCATGTCGTGCCAAACCTCTCACAGCAGCGTCATCAGCTTGAGATCGGCCTTTTTAGAGACCCCCGATCAAACATCCAATGTTTGATCCAGCTGATAGTGATCGGTAGCCGATCAATCGGAGCACCCCTATTAATTACTCACCCTCATGTTGATCCAAACCCATAAGACCTTCGTTTATCTTCAGAACACAAATTAAGATATTTTTGATGAAATCCGAGAGCTCTCTGACCCTCCCATAGACAGCAACATAATCAGTGCTGTTTATGCAGATTATGTTCATAATCATGATTATGTTCATGCAGATTATGTTCACCCCCTCCCCTCCCTTCCTCTCGGGCTATTGGATTTCATCAAAAATATTTTCGTTTGTGTTCTGAAGATGAATGAAAGTCTTATGGGTTTGGAACTACATGAGGGTGAGTAATTAATGACAGGATTTTCATTTTTGGGTGAACTATCCCTTTAGGTTGGCGGCTGTTTGACTCCCGTCATGGTTTACCTGTCTGTGGTCTCCAGCAGTTTCTGGACAATGAGCTCAAAGGAGGAGGACAGGCAGTATGTGCTGGGCTCCTCCTCATCGTCAGCAGCATCTGTGGCCTCGTACGCCGCTTCAGCCAAACTGGAGAAAGCCTGAAAACAGCACCTGTGAGTCTCGTATCACAGCACAACTGATCGATTAGACTGTGCTACGAGTCCGAGGGGGCGGCTGCCTTTTGTTGAAGTCAAACCCAACAGACTATATCGAGTGCTTGACGACTACGCACTTACATTAGAAAACTAAGCATTTGATTGTGTGCATGGCTGAGGCAAGGTCACCAGTGGAAGTACAACGAATCATGTATACTGTACCAATACTGAAGTACTTAGCAGTTAAAGATGCATTATATTCGGTGCCAACCGGGTTTAACTACTCCAACAAATCACTAAACACCTATCAGGCATGTCTTCTCTTCATGAAAGCAGTGCTGTGAAAGGCGGCGTCATACCCAGCAGACGTTGGAGGCCACGCGGGGTTCGGCCCCAAGGCCCTCGATCAGGCACTGCAGCAGAGGGGCCAGATACACCTCATTGATGGCGGCCTCGGGCAGCAGATCACAGATGCGTCCTAGCGTCCAGGCCGTGGTGTCCCTCACCACCACACTGGGGTCCTTCATCAGCTCGATGAGGGTGGGCATGGCCTGCAGAGACACTCAACAAATCACACACAGAACTGGCACAGCCATGTCCCTCACTGAGCCCAGCGCAGCCCTTACCTGGATGACCAGCGGCTTGAGCTGGCTGAGCTCGGGGCCCTCCAGGATGGAGCCGAAGGCCATGACGGAGGCGTCGCGGTAGCGCCAGTCCGGGTGCTTGATGTGCTCTTTGATGAAGGGCAGCACATGCGGCACCACGTCGTCCTCGCAGCACGTGGCCAGGAGCATCAGACACACGCCTGCAGCCTTACACGGGTTCCAGTCGTCATCGTCGTCGTTCTCATCCTGCACACAGCGCACTCCTTCAGACAGACTCAACAGCAAAACTCCTCAAGTCTTTCAGTCACACAGCTGATTTTGATCATTCTTGACCATGTTCAAAGAAAAGCTGCTGGTCAACAAAAATGAGGTTTAGTTTTCAGAAAGCAGAAACAGTGTCTCGACCCAATCTGACTTAGTACCACATTTGTGACCCTGCAGCACAAAAGCAGTGTTAAGTCACTGGGGGATATTTGTAGCAATAGCCAACAATAAATTGTATAGGTCACAATTTTAGATTTTTCTTTTATGCCAAAAATCATTAGGATATTAAGTAAAGATCATGTTCCATGAAGATATTTTGTAAATTTCCTACTGTAAATATATCAAAACTTCATTTATGATCAGTAAATATGCATTGCTAAGAACTTCATTTGAACAACTTTACAGATGATTTTCTCAATATTTAGATTTTTTTTGCACCCTCAGATTCCAGATTTTCAAATATTGTCCGATCCTAACAAACCACACATCAATGGAAAGCTTATTTATTCAGCTTTCAGATGATGTAGAAATCTCAATTTAAAAAAACTGACCCTTAAGACTGGTTTTGTGCTCCAGGGTCACATATGGCCCAAATCAGAATCTAACAATCAGATCCCATGTGGTTTGTACTGTTCACACATTTATGAATAAAAAAAAACAATCAACTTCTTCCTGTCTGAACGTAGCCTTCGAGACCGACTATTAAACTAGAAATTTCAGGTACTGTAAATTAAAGAAAAGTCAGTTCATGGATTTAACAAATTATAATGAAATATATGTAGAAGCAGCTTTCTATTAGCAATAAAGCCCTTGTGGATGTGATATACTGAGAATACAGTCACCAAGCTGCTTGTTGCACCTGAAGGCCAATTTCCCCTTGATTTGCTGGCTCTGTCTTATCTTTGATTTGTCACTCATTAATAACTGATACTACTGCAACTTCTGTAGTCACACGGTTTGAACAGCTAAATTGTTTTAACTAGTCTGAAATGACTAGTTTCTGTGGTTTGTGAATGAGAGAATCAAGGTCTTGTTCCTCAGCGTGAGAGCCAGTGATCACTTCACATTGTTCGATAAGCTCATTAACCCAGAGGGGAGTTTCTGCACGCACACATGGTGTATGGCTGGAAATGAGTTTCAAAAACCACCCTACAGCAGCCACTGAGACCAGCTTTACCTGAGACCCCCGATCAAACATCCAATGTTTGATCCAGCTGATAGTGATCGGTAGCCGATCAATCGGAGCACCCCTATTAATTACTCACCCTCATGTTGTTCCAAACCCATAAGACCTTCGTTTATCTTCAGAACACAAATTAAGATATTTTTGATGAAATCCGAGAGCTCTCTGACCCTCCCATAGACAGCAACATAATCAGTGCTGTTTATGCAGATTATGTTCATAATCATGATTATGTTCATGCAGATTATGTTCACCCCCTCCCCTCCCTTCCTCTCGGGCTATTGGATTTCATCAAAAATATTTTCGTTTGTGTTCTGAAGATGAATGAAAGTCTTATGGGTTTGGAACTACATGAGGGTGAGTAATTAATGACAGGATTTTCATTTTTGGGTGAACTATCCCTTTAGGTTGGCGGCTGTTTGACTCCCGTCATGGTTTACCTGTCTGTGGTCTCCAGCAGTTTCTGGACAATGATCTCAAAGGAGGAGGACAGGCAGTATGTGCTGGGCTCCTCCTCATCGTCAGCAGCATCTGTGGCCTCGTACGCCGCTTCAGCCAAACTGGAGAAAGCCTGAAAACAGCACCTGTGAGTCTCGTATCACAGCACAACTGATCGATTAGACTGTGCTACGAGTCCGAGGGGGCGGCTGCCTTTTGTTGAAGTCAAACCCAACAGACTATATCGAGTGCTTGACGACTACGCACTTACATTAGAAAACTAAGCATTTGATTGTGTGCATGGCTGAGGCAAGGTCACCAGTGGAAGTACAACGAATCATGTATACTGTACCAATACTGAAGTACTTAGCAGTTAAAGATGCATTATATTCGGTGCCAACCGGGTTTAACTACTCCAACAAATCACTAAACACCTATCAGGCATGTCTTCTCTTCATGAAAGCAGTGCTGTGAAAGGCGGCGTCATACCCAGCAGACGTTGGAGGCCACGCGGGGTTCGGCCCCAAGGCCCTCGATCAGGCACTGCAGCAGAGGGGCCAGATACACCTCATTGATGGCGGCCTCGGGCAGCAGATCACAGATGCGTCCTAGCGTCCAGGCCGTGGTGTCCCTCACCACCACACTGGGGTCCTTCATCAGCTCGATGAGGGTGGGCATGGCCTGCGACAACACACTCTATGTCACACACAGAGCCCCCCACACACACACAGAGAGCCCCCCCCCACCAGCTCTTACCTGGATCACCAGCGGCTTGAGCTGGCTGAGCTCGGGGCCCTCCAGGATGGAGCCGAAGGCCATGACGGAGGCGTCGCGGTAGCGCCAGTCCGGGTGCTTGATGTGCTCTTTGATGAAGGGCAGCACATGCGGCACCACGTCGTCCTCGCAGCACGTGGCCAGGAGCATCAGACACACGCCTGCAGCCTTACACGGGTTCCAGTCGTCATCGTCGTCGTTCTCATCCTGCACACAGCACACTCAACAGTGAGGGCACAACAGCAGGCACTTCCAGACAAACAACGGATTCGCAAAGATTCAACTGAGATTAAGGGAGAATTTTTACTGGTATATCGCAAACGATAAAATATCGCCCACCCCTAATTCAGGTTTCAGAAACAGAAACACAGGGTCTCACAAATCAGAACCTAACAAAACTGACTGCATGTTGTTTGTGCTGTTCACACGGTTACGAATCATTAAAAAACAAGAAAAACTTTTGTCTGCAGTCTGAACGCAGCCCTCGAGGCCAACTATTAAAAGCAGTGTCAGGTACTGTAAATAAAAAGCATCAGCTCATGGATTTATCAAATGTTACAGTGAAAACGTGAAATATGAAGCAGTTTTCTATCAGATATGATAGAGAACATGGTGACCGAGCTAATTAATGCACCTAAAGCTTGTGTGCTGGGTGATTTGCTGGCTCTGCCATATTTTTGATTGGTCACTCATAAATAACTACCACTACTGCTTTTGTAGTCACATTGCTTTAATAACTAAATAGTTTTAACTTAAAAGACCAGGTTCTAAGGTTATCATGTATATGCGGTTGAGCGAGAGAGACTCGAGGTCTTAGTTCTTCAGCGTGAGAAGCGTAATGACACTAACTGTCAGCGATCACTTCAGTTTGGTTCAGTGTTGATTCACTCAGAAGGAAGTTACTGAAATGAGCTTTACAAGCAGCAGGTTTCCCAGAGACCAGCTTTACCTGTTTGGTGAGCGTCTGTGTCAGGATGGGCACCAGGTACTGCAGAGCTCCTTTAGCGTAAAACTTGCTGGTGTGCTCTGGAGGACGGCCCTGTTCAGAGGCCTGAGGACACACAACATCAACAACTGATCAGGAACGAGAGCGTTTGCGGAGCAGCAGACTGGAGAGGACACCAGGAGGCATCACCTCAGTGGCTTCAATGGCCAGATCCATCTCCTCGTCACAGACGTTGGACCAGAACTCGATTCCCTGCAAGGCCACTTCATCGATGTCACTCTTCATGGCCTCTATTGTGATCTGTATTGGAAGAGTAAGGCTGATTACCCCTTGGCAGCTGCTAGTTTGTCAAACTAGCTCTTAAGACACAGTCGTAGCATGGTGGCTAAATTTATGCAGCTGGCCCCAGGACCCATGCATCACATGTGTTAAAGACACAGCCCACTGTCAACTTCGGTTTAAAGCGATAGTCTGCCCAGAAATGAAAACTGCCCTCAAGCTGTTCTAAACCTGTATGTAGGGCTGGCAGATAAATCGATAACGTGATATAATTTTCCTTCGATAAAACGATAACAAGAGTTTGGTAAATGTTCAATATAATGTTTATGCGCCAAAAGCGGAATGAAAGAGCGCTTCTCATTTGAGCCACGCCACACGGACAGTTTATCTTTCACTTAGGAGCAAAAATCTGCCTTTAAACTTGAAAAAAATAAAGACATTTATCGTGATGATTATTGATATTGACTGATATGAAAAAATTTGTGATCTTATAATCGTGATAATTTTTTTGGTCATATCGCCCAGCCCTACCTGTATGAGTTTTTTCCTTCTTGTGTTGAAGACAAAAGGTCATATTTTGAGGAATGTCGGTTGCTGATCCACACCGACTTCCATAGTGTTTTTCTCACTATTCTTCAAAATGTCTTTTGCATATTTTGGCTACTATTTGAGGATAAGTGACAGTTTTCATTTTTGGGTGAACTATCCTTATAAAATATCTGGATAATGAATCTCTAGCCTAATATTTCAGTCCAACACAAAACGCAGCACCCTGAACACCAAACATCTCGGTTTCAGGAGTGAGCCCTGGGACTCTCAGATCAAGCTGGTCAGGAGTAGAGGTCTGCACAAGCTTTAAACTGAAGCCCGAACCCGACCCGTACTCGAGATCGTCTAACCCAGCCCGACCCGAGCAGCACAGTTCAATTTAGAGCCCGAACCCGACATCTTTTTTTTTTTTTCCACAACGAATAGCCAATAAAAAAAAAAAATGCTGTATTTCACGATTGCATGCAACGGTCAGTAAACAAATACATGTAAATAAACAGAATCATTAAGGCTCGGCCAGTTCACAAGGCAAAAGAAAAAACACTTACCAGTTATGAAAGTTATCAATTCTGCCGAGTTTTTGAATGGTTGTATACGACAAGACGACAATTCTTCCATCGTGCAAATTATGGTAATTTTCGTCAGTTAAGGCTCGTTAGCATTCGGCCTGCTTTAAATCAGACACAGAGATGCAGTGCGGTAAAAGATCGCATTTATTTGAATTAATTAGATAATTTATTTGAATTAGCGAGATAGGGATGAAAGTTGCGTGTGTGAACCTACGTCTGCGAGCCTCTCTACAAGCAATGAGGCTTAGTTACATCAAAAACAGAATTTTACCCCCTCGTTGCAGAGAAATATAAAATTGCGAGTCAGTAGCCTGTCGAAGCTATTTTACTAATCAAAGTTTCTGTGCTGTTTTGTCGTTGTCGTGTGCAGTAATGTGTGCGTGCGTCTATGAGCCTAGGCTACTGCATATAGTTTTAGTTTAGCTATAAGCCCGAGCCCGACCCGAACCCGAAGCTATTCATTAAACATTAACCCGAACAGAAACCTGAAAGTATTTCGGGACCCGTCGGGCTC